CAAGGGATGAAAGAGGGGGAAAATGGAAAATTCACCCCGTATGGGTCTCTTCTCCGTTTGACTCTCCTCCCAACCCACCTGCTTTTGTTTATTTTTCAGTCTCCTCAGGTTAGTTGCCTTTTGCATCTTGTCCAAAATTTTTAGTTCTAAGTGGGAGAGAAAGGATTTTGAGGACTTAAGCCATCTTGATTATCCCTCAAGTCCAAATCTGCATTATTTTTAAGAGACCTAAACTGGAAACAACCCAACTGTCCTTCAACATTAAATGAGAATGGACAAACTGTGATATATTTATACAGTGGCATATAATATGGCAACAAGAATGAACAAACTACAGTGACATCAGCAACATGGGTGTATCTCATATTATCTTTATTGTTTATTTAGTGCCTGAGTCTGAGAGAAACACCACTTCGAGGCTTTAATCAAAATAAGATAGGAAAAAATTACAAAGTGTCTGGTTTAGTGTTTAGTTTAAGCAAAACTAAATTATAATATTGGAAGGCCGGTCAGGATAGCTGTTATCTTTGAAGAGGAAGGGCGTGTGGTTGGCAGGTGGCATCAGGAAAGCTCTTTGCTGTGCTCTGAACAGTAATTCTTGCCTGCATGGTGGTTACACATGTCCTCACTTACTGTAATTCGCTCAGCTGAACATGTTTTGTACACTTTACATATTTTATGTATCAATCTAAAAAAACACTTGAAAAATTAACCCTTCCTCTGGAGGCACAGGACAGTCTGAGCTTCTCTCAGACCTTACTGACCTATGTATTAAAGGAAACTTACAAGGATACACTTGCTTTGTGGAATTCAAGGACAGGAATGATACTGGGCTGTATGAATAATTGAGCCTAAGGCTCCAAAACTATCAGAATCTTCCCTCTCAGTACAAATGTTTTCTCCAGGAAAACATGGCTACTGACATGAAGCAAGCATTTTATACAATATGCACAGTCTTTTGGGGTGTGTACCTGCTTTGTTTGCCCAAGACTAGGTCCACTTACTGGGTGTAACACCACTTTCAGGGAAAATGGTCCTCCCTCACTGTATCCATGATTTTTAAAGCATGTACATGGTTTTCACTTAACCCCAATCACCTGCCACAGTCAGTTAGCCTAGTTACAGGCACCTGACCTGTGCTGGGACCCCTATTCCCAGAATTTCCATTCTTGGGACCAGAGTTCTATTTTTAAACAGACATGCTTGGGGTAGAGTGCAGAAATTTGTTTTAGCAGCCTGTCAGGGGATTCTCTAGTCTGAGAACTCAATCTAGACTATCTTGATTCTTTAATTGGTTGTGCCTGTTTCTTCAGAGGTACTTTGTTTTGAAACTGTATTCAACCAGTACTGTCCATTCATGGCTTGGTAGACTTGGGGGAGTGCTAGTGTCAGTAAAAGATAATATATAAAGAACAGTGAGAATATAGGTTTGGTAAAGTTTTAGATATTTGTATACTCTTTCTGGAGCTTTTTTATTTCTCCCAGCAGACTTCATCTAAATGATGGCAGTCCTCAGTGACCTCAGAGTTAAGAAAAAGTTACACTATCAATCATGAATATGATCCCAATTTCATTAGGGGGAAAAAAAAAGACAATATCCTCAAATTTAAGTGGCTGATTACCTACGGAATTAAGTGCTTTTACTTCTTTATAATTTACTCTATTTCTCTAGTTTTCTATAATAAATGTGATTTTTCATAATAAAAACTAACTGATATTATAAAGATACAATGTACTGTTTTAAATCAAGGAGTATCTACAATCAGGAATTGAGAAATGTGTCAAGCTTTCAATAAGCAGTTAGTGTACATCTCTGTTCAAAAGCAAACTCATTTCAGCATTATAAGTGAAAAAGTATTTTCTCATCTTAAACAGAAGACTTTTTACCCTTCCACATAATTCAGGCTTCCCTCACTACTGAAAGCAGGAGCATTCCTATGAAACTCTTCCTAAGCTGAAATAGCATAAAGTGAAGCAGCAATTATCTGAGGACACGCCTTGCTGGATGTAAAAGAGAAAAAAAAAACCAAGATAAACCACAGATGCTCACATAGTTCTAAGCTATGGTGGCTAGATGCTAAGATGCTGAGTAGTTCCCAGTGACGGACTCGACAGGGAGGTGTGAACTGCCTCTATAACGGCTCTGTGCAAAGCGAACGCTGAATGCTAATTTCTGCCTTTGCCTTTTTTCATGAAAGCGAAAATCCTCCTCAGATTTCTTCTGGTTAGTAAAAACAGGTATTAATAGATCTTTCGTAAAAGTGAAGTGGCATACAGTGAACCTCCAAAATGCAGGAAATACCTGTATTTCACAACCATGTTTAGGTCAGCATTTAAATATTTCCACATGGTGGGATTGTGAGATCCCAAGGTGAAATGTGGGATCACTTTCCCTTTTATATTTCTTGTTTTCAGTTTTGAAAAAAGTAATGAGTCTATTATTTTCAAAATCAAAAGAAATCAAGCTTTTCCCCCTCTTCTTTTTACAGAGAAGGCATTACGGTTACCCAGTGTAAAGAACTGGTTTGAAACTGGCATGCAGTTAACAGTTTTAACCAAGTTGTATTTAAGTAAACTCCATGAGGGAAATCTGTTCCATTTTCATACTAGTAACCAAAGGGTCCTTTAGTCTACTCAGACTTGTATTTGGGCCATTCAAAATATGCTAGTGGTTGCAACCCTGGCTTCATGCTCATGTGAAGACACTGTTCACTACCTCTCTCCAAGTTAGTTTCGCTATCATTTATTCTGCTTTAGTAACTCAAAGCTCAACTTTGATATAGCAAATAATTCACAAGAACCACCGTACAGGTTTTCCTGTTGCAATGGGTATGTGACAAGTTTAAGCAAACTTTTCATTCATTAATTTACAAATATAATGACATTTAATTTTAAATGGTTCTTAAAAGGTTTTATGTTGGCTTGGGAGAAAGTTCAAGCATGAAAGGGTCATTTCTCTGTAACTCGCTAGTGAGACTAACTGTAACATGGAGGATAGTCAAAAACACTTTCAAAAGGGACGTGGGGAAGTAATTAAACAGTGTGCAATTCTTGATTTTTGATTTATCAAAGATGCACACGATCAACTAAATAAATATTAATATTTGGTTTGAAAATGTATTAATTTTTCCTCCTGGATAGTCATATAATGAGTTATGAACAGGCTTTTGCTTGTTTCACATATGCTAGCTTTTTCTAACTAGGTACTAATTCACAACAGGTTAAAAAGTCCCAAGAACATGCCAATTCCGAGTAAACTATAAATTTATCCCAAATAATCAGGACAGAGAGAGTACAACATGATATATTCCAGCCTTAAGGAGATCAAGTCTGAAAGGGCAATATGATTTGGCTTTGTGTTAAAAAAAAAATTAACTGGGAATTTATTATAATCAATTACAGTCAACTGGCGGGGGGGGCAGATCTTATCATACCCAGAAATTAATAAAAACACTTGAAAAAAACAAATATAAATTTAATAATAAACATCATGGTCAGGTTGTTTATTAAGGAGGCAACCACACATACAAGTTCGGCTATAGAAATGTTTGCAAATCAAACTTCATGTGATCTAAAAGGACCATGCGTAATGTCAAAAATGGACGCCTGTACATTCAATAAAAGTTAAATATACACAGTCGAGATCATTCTATAGTTATACAAACATCTGGGGACACATGTATCTAATTTCCTTTCAGAAAAACTTTTTTTTATAAAAGTGATGTATTGAGATAATAATTTTAAAAAGTATCTGGCAATTATGAATGGTCCCCACTATTACAAAATGTGATTTCCAGGGTATGAAAATCAAAAAAAAGAAAAAAGAAAAAAAAAAGCCAACCCTTCAGAGAGTGTTTTATATTATACAAACAAGTTTTGTAGAAAAATGATCCAGCAAATGCTTGAGTTAAGAATATTTATATTTTTTCCAATTCTTTACACTTTTATTAACACACTTACAAAAAATAACATTCAAACACTGAAAAAATTAAATAACTTTGGAAGCAGAGCTCATAGCTTTCTGCTTACATATAAGTGACAATTTTGGGCTGTTGGCACAAAAAATAATCAACATTCATAAAACCCTTACTACTATATATCAAACATAAGTTAAAATCATAGGCACTAGTTTATCAAACCCATGTTTCATCTGCAAGACTAACCACAGTGAATCCTTAGATTTTCCCAAACAGAAAAATTGGCAATACACAAAGGCTTTCTAGTAAAAAGGCAATTTTTCTCTTTAGGAAACCAAAAGCCAATAGTCTGTGGTAGTACAACAGCAGGGAAAATAACACTTTACCCAACTCAGGTCCAAACACATTTTAACAAGTGATGAAATATTTTAA